TTGAACTTTCTGAGTTTCTGCTTCACCGGCGGACATATTGGATTGGTAGGCAACTTATGAGCTACTATGGATGTGTTCAGGCCGGTCATGTCATCATATTACCACGCAAAAATATCCTCATATTCTTTTAAGAAATGACTGTATTCTTCCTTCTCTGACAGTGATAGGTGAATACTTATGCGAGTTTCTTTGATGGTTTCAGAATCTCCTAAACTGATCGTCTCGGTTTCGTCTAGGTTGGACTTAGGCTTATTCTCAAAATTCTCAACTTCTCTAATAACTTCCTCAGGTATCTCATCTTCTTCTTCTGGGTAACTATCATTATGTTGCATTGTCTCATTACATGTCACAGTCGTTGGTTCATCAAACTAAGAAATAGTAATGTTGTAGAAGAAAAATATGAAAGATAACAATAATAAAACATCAATTTTTTTATAAATACTGAAACGTTAAACAAAATATCGTTTGAATGACTTCAAAACAATGTTTTCCAAAACAAAATACTGAAAGGAAGATATTTTAAAAACTAAATGCTCAAAAGACTTGTTTTTTAAATAAAATTAGTAGCCATGCTACCTCGGGACTCGTCTGTCCCTTGATGGTATGACGGTCCAGTTCCTGAGAAATGCTTCTCTCTCCATCGTCTGAATGGTAAGCCCTTCTTCCTCCTCCTCCTCAACTATCACATTGCAATCCATATTTTCGTCTTCTAGAAATAGGTTCCTTAGCCTAGCTAAAGCTTCCTCTTCTTTATATCCCCATAATGTATCGGCCTGATGAAAGGTCTGACTCAGATGCGACACTGGCTACTCAAGAGGGTAACACAGGCCGTGCCATGGGGGAGACCAATCATCATATTCCTTCCACGTATATGGATATCCAAGCCCAAAAGTTTTATCATGATTTTTCAGCTGTATTGGTTTGGTAATGCCCTGGAGTTTCTTCCCAAGCCCTTTGCCGGGTTCATACCCTGACCATGCCAGTATGCTTTCTATTTTTCTGCTCCGCCATTTATCTTTCTCAATTGCAATGACACGCTCGATGCGGTGATATGTTTCTCCACCCAACTTTCTTCTATTCTCGACAACCAGGACGGTTTAACTGTTGTAAATGGGATTCCTTTTGTCTCCATGAATGATTACCTCCTGATGGTTCCATTCAAACTTCACGGCCTGGTGTAGCGTAGAAGCCACAACTCCAGCGGCATGTATCCAAGGTGGTCCTAGTAAAAGATTATACGTAGTAGATATGTCCAATACCTAAAACTCAACATCAAACCAAGTCGGGCCCATTTGCGAACAAAGGTTAATTTCCCCAATTGTGGCCCTTTGAGACCTATCAAATACTTTCACATTCATACTCCATATTCGTATCTCATGGAAATCTTTACCCACCCTTTTTTAGAGTAGTCAACGGACAAATGTTGAGTCTTGAACCCCTATCTATTAGAACTCTGGCTATGAATTTATTCTCAAACTGCATCGTGATGTGGAGTGCCCTGTTGTGACTTAGTCCTTCATGTGGTAGTTCATCTTCGTGGAAGGTGATCTTGTGGCTTTCTAGTACTTTCCCTACCATGTTGGCCATTTCTCCACCGGTGATGTTGTTGGGCACGTACGCTTCATTCAACACCTTCATCAGAGCATTTTGATGCGCCTTAGAATTTTGTAGCAGCGACAGAATGGAAATATGAGCAGGGGTTTTGTTCAGATGATCAACAACAGAGTATTCTCTTGCCTGTACTTTCCTCCAGAGATCATCTGGACCAGTTTTAATGGTAGGTTGTTTAGCAGCTGCTTCATTGCTTGTTCCTCCCAAATTTTCGGGTGTATAGATTCTTCCAATTCTGGTCATCCCCTGTACAGCACCATACTCTTTCATTTTTGCTTTTCCTTTTCTCCTAGCTTCGGCAACATAATCCCAAGGTATGGCATTGGAATTAAATGGTGGTATGGATGTTACTGTCACAGTGAGAGGTATGGCTACTTTTACTTCAATTGGAGTAGTTGTAGTCGCAGGTGTTGTCATTTCGATTTCAAACGGAGCTGATGCGGCTACTTCAACTTCGACCGGTGGCTGTATCTGTACCAAAATAAGAGTGAGTGTGACTTCAGGTTTAGGTTTTTCACCTTCCCGAATAAGCCCAATTGACCCTTTAGGATCACATTCTTTATCAATTTCTATCATATTTACTCATTCACTCCTATGTTCTGGGAAGGGATTATTACGGACATTGGGTACGGCTTCCTTTGCTTGTATGACTTTGGTGTCAATCAGGGTCTGAGTCTTGTCTTTTAGAGTGCTGCATTCATCAATAGTATGCCCCTTCATGTCGGAATGGTACGCACATGTTTTGTTCGGGTTGACCCATTGGGAAGAGTTTTCTATGGCAACAACGGGAATAGGGCTGACATATCTGACAGCCTTCAGTATTTCATATAGCTGGTCGATGGGCTTAGCAATAGGGGTGTATTGTCTGGGCGACTGATCGAGGCCAACCCTGCACTACTATTGAGTAGCGAGAGAGGTTGAAGCAGTTTTTACCCAATTAAGGTCGGAATCAATTTTCACAGAGAGCTAAATATTGGAGTCGAGTGTCTATCTAAAGTGAAGTTGTGTATTTGCTCTTAATTGCACTTCTACACATTTTTTGGTTTTATTTACTTCTAATTGTATAAAACTACAATGCTCAATTAAGCTAAATAAGGCTAAGGCTAAACTATTGCGAGTTGTTCAAATAATTAAAGGGTACTAGGGTAGTGACTTTCGCCTAGGTGGTCAATTGACGGATTGTTGAGTCTAAACCTAGATTGTTACATTTGGGGAGTATGATATAACCATTGCATGACTCTACTCACTCTATACCTCTCGATAGTTTGAGTGATTTTGTCCGAATTGACTTTCTCAAGACCAATTGGGTATGCAAATTTGCACAAGCAATCAAGGTTCAAGTCGGGTATTACTATCTCTAGGTTTAACCCTTCAATTGGGGCTATCAATCTCTTGACTACGCCCCAATTCCTTGTTTGACTAATTTCATGGACTTAGGCTCTCTTTCTCAAGAAGAGCCTAAGTCTACTTGGCATAAACTAGTGTTTACAACCACTAATTCACAATTAAAACCCTAAATTAGGCCAAATATCAAACACCCATAGACAATCAAGCATCAAAACACAAGACACATCAATTACCCACACTAGGGTTGAGCCACAACCCTAGCTAATGGGTCTAGCTACTCATAATTAGAGAAAAAAACAAAGAAATAGATGAAGAAAAACTCATAATAATTAATTGCTAAATTAAACTTGAAGATTAAATGTTGAAATTAAGCTAAAATTACTCAAAATAGGTAAAAGGAACAAAGTCACGAGCGCAACTCTCACTACAAAACTATCTGATGACCTAAAAATGGGAAAAAAATCTATTTATACTAGGCTGAAAATTCTGGACAAAAATACCCCAGCGGGGCTAGTGCGTACCGCACAAAATCTAGTGCGGCCGCACTAAGGCTCTGGGCTTGAATATCTAGCTCTCTGAACTTGGGCAATGCGGACCGCACGAAATCGAGTACGGCCGCGGTGGCTTCCATTGTGGTCCTCACAAAAAGGATCGCGGACCACATTGAGCTTCAACCTCCAAAACACCACCTCTCTAAACCTTGGCTCTGCGGACCAGATGAAATCGAGTGCGGCCGTGGTGAACTCAATGCGGACCCCACAAAACCCTTTGCGGCCGCATTGCTTTTTGGCCTGAAAAGCAACCTCTCTGAACTTCACTTTTGCGGACCGCACAGAATGGTGTGCGGCCGCACTAGCCCTATTTGACTAAGCTTTGCCTTATCTTGGTACTTGTGCAAGTTTCAGTCCTTTTTGAGCTGGTTTTTGGCACTTTGTCACCTTGTTGATCAAACCTGCAATCAAGCACAACTTTTGAGCCTTTGGGACTATTTTGTACACATTTCTAATCAAAACTCAATCAAGAAGGAGTGTACAATGCATCATATTTCCTAGTTATCAACTCCCCCAAACTTAACCTTTTGCTTGTCCTCAAGCAAACAAAATAAGACTCACCCCTTAAGAGAAAATCCAAGAAAATTCAGCTGTCCTAAAGTGACCTCATGTAGCATCAATCGGGACTAACAATTGCCCTCAATACAAATGAATCATTAACAACATTTACTCTTTTAAACGCCACAGATTAAGTGCGACGCAAGAGCATCAAGAGTTGACTCAACACATCAAAGAAACTCTTTCTATTACTTTTGGTCATTGTGGAACCCAAACTCACTCATCCTCAACTCTCCCTAAGCAAACCTCACCTTTAAGATAGTGGCACTCAGAACGTGGTTAATGAAAATACACTCATCTCTCTCAAGAAAAAGTCCACTACTAAAAAATTGGTCTACGGTAACGCATGAAAAACCATTCCAATAGGTAGATAAACCGCTGCCATACAGATACTGGAACGGTTTACAGACTGTCACATTCGCCCGCGTGCCAATAGAGATGTAGTAAGGGTTCTTGCAACGGTTTGCATTTCCGTTGCTATAGATACGTCTATCGCAACGGTTTTCCCTTTCTCTACTGGAACGATTATTCTTTCCAATTGGAACGGCTTAAAACCGTTACTACATAGTGTTTGCAACGGTTAATAACCGTTACCATATTATCTAATGTAACACTTATGTAAGCTATTGTTACGGTTATGTATGGATATAACAATGGTTTCTTTAAGCTATCACAACAATTTTATTTGTCTTGGAATGGTTTAATAGATCATTTTGGAATGGTTTATAGGACCTATTGCAACAATTTGTATTGTATAATGGAACATCATTTGTGTCCTATTGCAATGGTTATGGTAGCCTATTGTAACAGTTCAGTTAAAACATAAATATAGCCCATGTTATAAATATATATTTACACATATAATAAATTATAATAACACTAAAATTTAAATAAATCATAAAATGAAACTATTAATAATATAAATTATCCATCAAGTAAATAATATCCATAAAGCAAATGTTCTACCCCAAATGCATAAGTTTAATACATTTCAAGAGTAAGTTTAAAAATGTTGATAACAAGATTTCTATAGAACATTCATCTATAGCAATTCAAAATTCATCTCAAGTAAGGTCTAGTTCTTCAGTTCCATCATCTTCTTCCATTTCTTGATCTACTCCACCTACAAAAGAGGATAAATAAAGCCATTACTCTTCAAGAGAACTACTCGTTTCAAAACCAAAAATGGATTTGATATAATTCACCATTATCTAAAAAATGTCAAAAAACATGAATGATTTAAAAATTAGTCAAGCTAGGCCATGAATTAACACTAATCTTCTTCACTTTTAATTTCATCATATATAATCTTCAATTCCTATGAAAGTTGAGTGATCAAGATTGAAACAAAGGCATATATGGCAGATCATGAAGGATGATCAACATAGAATTACCAGACATAGAGAGGCATTACCTATCAGATGAAAATTAAAGAAGGTTAATAGTGCATAAAAAAGGGTGAATAGCAACAGTTAGGCTAAAAATTACACACTTAACCGGAGAACAAACAGGAGTATAACAGTTAGGCTTCGTGACTTCAGTTCATTCTTCTCCTTCAGTTTCATTCTTCAGTTCTGAAGACAAAACTTGGTACCAGATTCACCTCCTAATGTGGAGTGAAACAAACATTGAACTCTCCTAGAAAAATGATAATCAACTCCTAAACAATCTTAGAATCGAAAATCAATGAGAAAATCCAACTATTATCTTCCTAAGTTCACATCTTTGCACTAAATTCAACTAGAAAAAGAGACCCAATTTACTAGATTATATCCATAATAATACACAATCATCTCTTTAATGGAAAACGATTCAATCCTAAGAATCAAAATTGAAAAATCATAAAGAGCAGCACAACAACTAATAAACTACAACCATCCAACCAAACACATACCAAAACAGAGGCAACTTAATACCAAACATCATAAACTAGTTAACTACAACAGTCCAACCAAACACTTGCTAAACAAAAAACTTAATACCACTACCAGTTAACAAATACCACTTCCAACACATAAAGAGCATCACAACAAATAAACTTAATGTAAACAACCAACAAGCCATCAAGGCAGTCAACAACACAAAAAATATCACTATCAAATGCCAAATACCATAAGGCACATGCCATACATTTGGCGACTATTCCAAATGTTAGGTATTCTCTTTTCATTTCTTTCATTTTCGTGACTAAGTGCCATAGGCAAAGTAAAAAAAACTATTTAGACTTTGAGAGAGAGAGAGAGAAGTGGTAAAAGAAGAATCACAAGAAAGGAGGAGAAATAGAAGAAGATGTATAACATTTGGTAAGTACTGACCTTGATTGTTACTACCAGTATATGGTCGATTGTTTAGTTGAACAACAACTTGGTGTGCAGAGGAAGCTTCTACGAACCTTAGCATGTCAGGATCAAGTCGCAATTCTGGGTTCAGACGCTGAATTCCATGGCACTTGTTGCACTTGTTCATGTAATTGAGATCCTAATTCTGATTGTCGTTCTTCATTTGCATTTGACCTTATATTCAAGACTCTTTTTGTTGTCAACGACGAAACCTTTTGGTTTTGCAAAGATAGAGGTAATCCAGCTTTTGATTGTCGTTCTTCATTTGCATTTGACCTTATATTCAAGACTCTTTTTGTTGTCAACGACGAAACCTTTTGGTTTTGCAAAGATAGAGGTAATCCAGCTTTTGATTGTCGTTCTTCATTTTCATTGGACCTTGTAGCTTGAAAGGTTCTTTATGTTGTCAACGACGAAACCCTTTGATTTCGCAAAGATGCAAGGGATCCAATTGGAATGCGGTTGGATATTTTCTTATTTTTGCTTGAGCACCCTTCTTGATTCATGACTATTCAAATATTTTTCAGATTCTGAAAAGCAAACACAACATAGGTTAGCAAGACCAACAACAAAAAAAATAGGTAAATGGAGTTGGCCTAATCTAAGACCAAGCTGTCTCAAATAACATTAGCTTGTTAGGATGCATTCTATTGTGTCAAAGAAAACAGAGATGCATTACAGTAATCAACATTTGTTGCAATTGATGTGCATCTTAAGGTGGCTTGTGTTCTGGTCATTTAGAGCATGGATGACTATATAGAAGAACTTGATCCCTTATGCGCTGAGGTGTAGTAATTATATGGGAGAAACTGTGATCATGTCGGTATTTCTATCATTCGTGAAAGCTACATGGTAGAGTTCTCTCTGTTGGTATAATTTGTTTTTCTATAGCTCATGCTTTGATTATAACCTTTTTTTTAGAACATTTCATTAGTTTCAAATCTATACCTTATCTCTTAACAGTATAAGAACTGAAATAGTAATTCTGCTTTCTATTCCATGTCTCTCATTTAATTCTTTTGTTTCTTTTTTAGTGTTAAAAGTAGTATATTAAAATCAGCAATAAGTGTTGTAGAAATAGTTACAGGAGGACATTAGTGAACGCTGACATGAAACAATATTGGATACATACAGTTTTAGAAGGCAACATATATGTAGGTAACTAGATAAATCAATTATAAAAGAGCAAGAACACAAATCCCAAGACTAAAAAATAGAATTATCTCTCTCAGCTAATATCAACCTAGTAGGTCATTTTGTATTTTCTCTTGGTTAAAGGTAACTGTGACGACCCGGTCAATCGTCTCATGAGTTGCCACTCCATTTTCCCCCATTTTTGCTTCATTTTGCTTCGTTATCCATGTTTTATGTGAGCGAGTTGGGTAGTTTGCGTTCAGAGTGGATTTGGTAATAAATGAGACACTTAGTTTCTTTTAAGAAGGTTTAAGTTAGAAAAGTCAACCGGGCATTGACTTATGTGTTAGAGGGCTCGGATGTGAGTTCCGATGGTTCGGTTAGCTTGAGGAGGTGATTTATGACTTAGGAGTGTGATCAGAATTAGTTTTGGAGGTCCGGTGTAGAATTAGGCTTGAATTGGCAAAGTTAGTATTTTGGCGATTTCCAGTTGGTACGTGAGATTTTGATCCGAGGGTCGGAATTCCCTATAGCTTCATTATGTCATTTGTGATGTGTGTGCAAAATTTCAGGTCATTCGGACGTGGTTTGGTTATATTTTTTATCGAAAGCGTATTTCGGAAGTTTTTAGAAAACTTAGGCTTGAATTCAATGTGAATTGATGGATTTGCTGTTGTTTGAGGTGTTTTGATGATTGGAACAAGTTTGAATGAGGTTTTAGGATGTATTGGTGCTTTTGGTTGACGTCCCGGGGGCCTTGGTGAGTTTCGGATGGTCAATCGGACTATTTTGGAGATTGAAAGTTGCAGAAAAATCTGCCCAGCTATTGCAGAGAATTATCTCTTCGCGTTCGCGAGCAGAGCCTCGTGTTCACGTAGAAGAATTTGAGGAAGGCCAGAATTAAGCCTTCGCATTCGCAAGAGGTACCTCGCATTCGCGGAAGTCTAGGAGTTTGTGCTTCGCGTTCGCATGAGGCTCTCCGCGTTCGCGTATAAGGATTTGGGGTCCAGTGGAATTTGCTCTTAGCGTTCGCATCAGGTGTCTCGCATTCGCGAAGGTCAAGGAGGAAGAGGCATCGCGTTCGCAACTGGCGTGTCGCGTTCGCGCAAGGTAAAAGTTGGTCAACGTAAATTTGTGCTACGCGAACGCGAGAGGTTGACCGCGTTCGCGTAGAAGGAGAGTCAGGCCTGGGCAGAAAGTTTATAAGTTATTTCATTCGCAATTTTTAGTCATTTTTCCTCCATAGTTGAGCATTTTGAGAGCTTTTTGAGGGTGATTAAAGACGGATTCAAGGAGAATTGATTGGAGGTAAGATTTTTGAACCTAAAACGTGATTCTATTGTGAAATCAACCTAGAAATTCTTGGAACTTAAGCTAAAAATGGAAGAACTAGGGCTTGGGATTTTGAACTTTGAATTGGGATTTGAAGGACCATTTGAGGTCGGATTGGATACTTTTGATATGTATGAACTCGTGGGGTGATAAGGAATTTAATGATGTGAAAATTTCTGAGTTTCGAGAAGTGGGCCTAGGGCTCGGGTTTTGCTAATTTCGAGATTTTTTTATATATTTTCGATTGTTTTCGCTTGGACTTTGTTCCCTTAGCATATTGTAACGTATTCGTTCTGCTTTTGGATAGATTCGACGCGCGTGGAGGCCGATTTGAGGGGCAAAGGCGTCGTGAGCTAAAGTTTTAGCCGGTTCGAGGTGAGTAATGATTGTAAATGATGTCCTGAGGGTTTGAAACCTCGGATTGCACATCGTAGTGCTATATTAAGGTGAGACATGCTTGATGATGAGCATGGGGTCGTTCACTATTGGGGACTGTGACTTGGTCCGTCCCGATCAATGATTTTACCGCGTATTTGACTGAAACTTGTTTGTTATCATCATGATTTGGGTTGATTGCCATATTTGGGCTTCATGCCAACTATTTGAACCCTTTGGGGATTTTTATCACTATTTCCTCACTGTATTGATTTATCGCTTGAACTCAGTCCTGTTGATATTTACTGTTTTACAAACTCAGTCACTTTTACTCATATTTGAAACTTAAATGATATTTCTAAAAGATGTTTTTGGGCTGAGAACTACTATTTTACTAATGCCCGAGGGGCTTGTGATGGTTTTTGGACTGAGTAAGGCCGAGGGCCATATGTGAGGATATGCTGAGCGATATGAGGCCGAGGTCCTGAGATACTTTTATACGCCACGAGATGGCTTGAGTGATGTGAGGCCGAGTGCCGAGTGATGTGAGGCTGAGTGCCGAGAGATGATGCCACGAGATGTGAATCTGCACACTCACAGTGAGCGCGGGTACCCATTATGATCTGAGAGTGAGCCCGAGGGACTGATACTGTACTGAAAGTGAGCCCGAGGGGCTGATACTGTTCTGAGCGATTGTTACTGTGCCCAAGGGGCGTATTTCTACTTGTTATTTACCTGCTAAATTACCTGTTATACTTAGTTTAAAAGAATTTCATTTGACTTTCTCACTGATTTACTGCTTTAAGTGATTTTTACTGCTTGATATAGAATTGCTTTGTGCCTTTACGTGTTTTCTTACTTTCAGCCATTATTTATGATTATTACTCACTAAGTCGGAGTACTCACATTACTCCCTGCCCCGTGTATGCAGATTCAGGAATCGCAGAGTCCGCTCCTGAGTGTTGATCCTCCTAGTCCAGGTAGTGTTTTCGGAGACTACGAGGTAGCTATTGGAGTCTACAGCACCTGTGCCTCCCTTATCTTATTATTTTAATGCCCTTGAACTTCTATAACGGATTTCGTATCGAGTACACTGGTATTTGGATTTATTAGTTGCTCATGACTTGTGACACCCCGGTTTGGGCTGTGTCGGGGTGGTTTCTACTGTTGTTATCGTTATTTCCGCAAATTACGGTTATTATATCATGTTTTAGAACTATTTATGGTATTTAACTGTTTAAACGAGGTGTTCTGTTTTGGTCTGGCTGACCTTGTCATCACGAGAGGCGCCATCACGACCTGGTTCGGGGTTAGGGTCGTGACAAGTTGGTATCAGAGCCTAGGTTACTTAGGTCTTACGAGTCATGAGCAAGTTTAGTAGAGTCTCGCGGATCGGTACGGAGACATATGTATTTATCCTTGAGAGGCTGTAGAACTTTTTGGAAAAACTTCATATCCTTGAAATTCTTGTTGTGCGACCTTGTTGATTCGAGAACTAAACTTTTGTTATTCTATTATCTCAGAAATAGTGAGGACGCGAGCTACCGAACGAGGTGGACTACCACCAGTGCCACCAGCTGAGACCATTAGAGGCCGTGGACGCGGTCATGGTCGTGGCAGAGGTAGAGTAGCGAGGGCAGCACCTGTAGATCCACCAGCTGCCCTAGCTCCGGATCAGGCTCCAGCGATGGATGCTCCAGCAGCACTAGTTCAGGCACCAATTGTACCCATTGTGATTCCGGGTCTTCAGGAGGCCTTGGCACAGATCTTATCAGTTTGCAGTGGCCTGGCTCAGGCAGTTTCATCCACTACAGTAGTAGCTACTTCACAGGCCAGGGAAGGCAATTAGACCCCCGCTGCTCGCACACCTGAGTAGGTAGTGCAGGGACTTCAAACGCCGGGGCACCCAGCCAGTTGCACCAGCTCAGGAGTTTATTGTGTCAGTTATGCCGAATAATGAGCAGCGTCATCTTGAGAGATTTGGTAGACTCCAGCCTCCGTTATTCAATGGTGCTGAGGGCGAGGATGCCCAGGGCTTTCTGGATAAGTGTCAGCAAATGCTCCATACAGTAAGGATTCTTGAGTCTAGTGGTGTGGCATTTACTACATTTCAGTTTTCTAGGGCCTCTCTCACTTGGTGGGAGGCGTATAAGAGGCGTAGGCCGGTTAGTGCAGCGCCCCATACTTGGCAGTAGTTCTCCACTCTATTCTTGGAGAAGTATGTACCGTAGTCCCGCGGAGAGGAGCTGCGTAGACAATTTGAGTGGTTGCAACATGGGGATATGACTATGTCACAGTATGAGTCGAGTTTTTCTGAGTTGGCTCGTCATGCCGTTTGGATGGTTCCGACAGATCGTGAGAGGATAAGGAGATTTGTTGATGGACTTAACTATCATATCCGTATTCTTATGACCCGAGAGAGGGTGTTGGGTGCTACATTCGAGTAGGTGGTTGATATAGCTCGCGAGATTGAGATGGTTCACCGTCAAGATCGAGAGGAGAGGCAGGCCAAGAGGCCTCGAGGATCGGGCAGTTATGGTGGTGCTCCTTCGAGGGGCTAGTTTCAGCATGGTAGAGGTCGTTCTTTCAGGCCTGCTCAGTCAGCCTGCCCAGAGTATCGCAGGGCATCTTCAGGTCATGGTTATTAGGGGTCTCAACAGGGCCAGCCTTCACTCAGCGCCCTCCCAGC